TCTGTATTCAACACACAGCTGAAAAGGAGTACAAGATAGTCAGTACTCTTATGTGAGGGGAAATAAGTCTGCAGAATTTGCCCTGAACCTTCCTTTCTAATGTATATGTGAATATTTTCTCCTTCCTGTTGCAGCTGACCATCTCCATTGACAATAAAAGCATCTGGTAGAGTGAATTGCTGGTTTTGGCACCCCACTACTTGTCTCAGTGCTTTCACCAGCTCTGAGCTTCGACTCCACCTTCCAGATTTGCATCATGTCAATTCCCTTTTCCATCATCTGAGTCACTCTTTTCCTGTCCACATTAAAGATTGATGTTTTGGGTTGCAGTGCTAATGTGAGTGGTGTAGCTGCATCCTAGGACTTGGCCATGCCCTCACACATCTTCCTTTCTCTCATGGCATATTAGTTTAAACTTCTGCTTTCTGTTACCATAGGGTTTAGTTTTGGGGCAATTTAAGAGGTGTGCTGCTGGGAATATGAAACAGAGGCCTGGGTACAAAGAGGTTAAATGCTTTTTGCAAGTGCCACTACTGGTAGATGCAGTCAGCAGTCTCAAAAGCTCTGTCAGATGGGAAGTGCCAAATCCCCAGTTTTAACAAAATAAATGGCCTTATCCAGTGCAGAACTTCTGGAGTACATGGGAATAGCACACCACACGCATTTATGTGGCTTCTGCTGTGAAGGGGAATATTGCTGCTCACAAGAAATAGATGGATTGCAGCATTCCCAGTCCTCAGCTTGCTACATGAAATTGCTCTACCACTGCAGCTCCCAAGTGCAGTTCTCCAGTTACTTACCAGTGATTCTTTGCTGGGCAGACAGAAGCCTTCTTGGAGGGCTGTCCAAGAGCAACCCCCCCCCCCCTCCTTAAACCCCTTAAAGCAGAAAATGCCTGAAAATTGTCCTCTTTGGAAAAGCTTGGAGGGGAGGTACCATGGAAGCAAGTTCAGTGGCTTGGAGCACTGGTTCCCAAACCAACAGACCCAGCCCAGCCCCAGTACTGAATGCTCTCCTGTGTAATATCACCTCAGCCTCCTGTATAGACTGCAGCTCAGCATCTGCTTCAGGTTTTACCCTAAGGTGACACAAGCTCCTTTGTACACTTGCAGTGGGAAGCACATTGTCCTAGAGGAAATTGAAGTGCTGAAACCCTGCATGCTTATCTGGATGCTTCATTTCCCTGGGCCAGCCACCCACTGCAGTTAAAGGTTACAGGTTTGCATTCCTCACATGCCACCCCACCAAAGCGCACACTGCACATTGACGTCATTTTGAGCCCAGAAACCTCCTGTTTGCCTTCTCTTCTTCGTAAATCCCCAAACCCTCCTGTCAGGCTTGGCAGTGGGGGGCTGAGTTCAAACCAGGTTTGTTGACCTGACTGAAAACATGGCTTTAAACAGAGTTTAGAAGGCGCTGCTGTGTCCTTTGAAGAGAGAACAGCGTGGCGCAGCTCCCAGCAGCAGTTGTAGCAAGTGAAACCAGGCAAGATCTGTAGTGTGAGATTGGACCTTTTATTAGGCCAGCTAATAAAGTCATACATTTATCCCTATGGAATATTTGCCTGTGCCCAGGCTGCTGCTTTTGTTTCATAGAATCCCAGACTGGTTTGGGTTGGAAGGGACCTTAAAGCTCATCCAGTTCCAAGCCTTGCCACGGGCAGGGACACCTTCCAGTAGAGCAGCTTGCTCCGAGCTCCTGTGTCCAACCTGGCCTTGAACACTGCCAGGGATGGGGCAGCCACAGCTTCTCTGGGTGTTCCAGTGCCTCAGCACCCTGATGGGTGCTGTAACCAGTGTCCAGTGACTGGCCTGGGTTAAAAAAGATGGTTGGTGGTGTGATTTACACCATGGCTTCACAGCTCAGGGATTGGTGAGCATGAGGGTGGGAGTTCCCTAAGCTCTCTGGGCACTAAAGCCAATGGGGTATTTACATGTCTGAAGAGTGTTGGGTTTAGTATTCAGAAAAGTGAGTGCTGTGTGATGGCAGTTTTGTGATGCTAAAAAAATCCCTCACTTCTGATGTAAAATGGTTATAGCTGAGTGAGAAACAGCTTTGGGGGTTTGATTCACTGGCTCTCCCAAAGGAAAACCCCAAGATTATCATAGGGACCATGACTCAAACCCAGGAAGAATGAGCTGAGTTACCTTGAACTGTTCTGATGAGTTGCATATAAGTGTGTGTGTGGGGACTGTGCGAGGAGGAGCGTGCTTCCAGTAGCTGGGAAGGGAAAGCAGGTTTGATCCCAACCCCAGTCCCTGCTTAGGGAATCACTGATGGTTTGTGACTCAAAGAGGAGCAGCCTTTCCAGCTCCAATCTGCTTATCACTTAGTGTGCACCTTGGTTTCCACTCCCCAAGCTACTGTGTATATTTGGTTCTGGTTTATGGTTCTCTAACCACTCCTGTTTCACCCTGTATCTTACAGTCTAAGAGCTGCTGTCACAGACTAGCTCATAACTGGTAATGAGACGTGACAACATCAGTTCAGACTGGTGATGATCCAGAGGTGCTGGACTCGAGGTGAAGTTGGAACGTTCCAGCCCTTTACCCTCTTTGGTCACTGTGACTTAGCACAGCTGTAAAAGTGCCCTTAAAGATTAACAAGGAGAATTGAACCATTTTATAACCTGCCTGAGCTTTAGCAGGCTCATCTTTCCATGTGGGAAATGCGTCCATATTGTTGAAATCACCTTCTAAAACCACTGGATGTTCTTAGGACCTCACTAAAACCTCTGTAGGAGCCCTTTGTTTGAATGGTGTCAGTGCAGTGAGGGGAAGGCTGTTGTACAGAAGTGGCTGTACAGAGCCATGTCCCACATTGGTGGCAGGCTCACTGCTCCTGTAATAAATCTACATGCATTTATTGCACATCACTGACATCTGCTACTTTATGTTAAATTCTGTAACCAGATCAAGGGCAAGGAAGCAAAAAGATGAAAGAAGGGGAAAGGAAGCCAGGAGAGGGGGGCAGGAAGGAAGCAAAACAAGGGATGGTTCAGAGCAGGGTAGCAGAATAGAGCTGTCACACTTAGAAGGATGAGCATTACTCATTCAGATGGAGAGAGAAGGAAGATGGGTTTGTCTTCTGGGCATATAAGACTTACAAGCATAGGCTTTTCTCCTTGTTTATAACTAGGTGTTGGTACTAGATCTAAGTACCAGATATACAGATAATCCTTGCAAATGTATTATTCTTTTTGTAGCTGGTTGCTAACAGAAGTTCTCTGCACTTCTGATGCACCAAGGAGCTGCTGCAGCAACTGGGAATTCAGAAGGAGGGGTATCCCAAGGCCAGTTTGGAATATGCTGTTTAAGGTTTTACCATAGGGTTTTGCTCTGAGATCAATGAAATACGCTTTTCATTTGATTCATGCTGCAGAACAAGCAGGCTGGATCTTCAGCTGCCTCTTGAGGTTGATATGTTTTCTTTCACCAAAGGGAAGTGTTTTGCTTGCTCTTAACTTGTTCCTCTGCAGGAGTCTGAAGGTGCATTTTAAATCCAAATGGGCCCTTACAGTTTCACTCAGACTTTACATGTATTAACTCCTGGTTAATCTGTTCTCTTCAAGAGATGTTTTTCCTCTGAAGGGGTTTGCAGTATCAAAAGTGAAATCATAGGAACCAGAAGCAGCCAAGTGATGTCTGTAGAACAAGGGTAGACTCTGACAGCTGCCATTTAAATGTGAGCTAAGACTGGAGAGATTTGGGTGAGTTGTTCCAAACTTGCAGTGCTCTTTGTATCTGTGAAGCTCCATTTGCAAGCGTGGTGTGTGCCTGTGTACGTGTAAGGGAAAGGAGAAGGATGATGTGAAGCAGTTGGCTGACTCCTGGATATAATCACATCCAACTCTGTTGCTGATGTTTAACCATCAGCTTTCCTGAGATGGTATTTCTCTAGCATGTTAGTTGTGGGAGTCATGTGGAACACAGGAGATTCCTCATGGCAGCTTGGCAGGGGGCTTAAGAAGGTGAAACCTGATGGCTTTTGTTTCCTTTACAGGGAAATAAGCCAGAAATAACTGGAGGAGACCCAGGAGCTGGTTCTCCTTGTTGGGAGATGCTCTGCTTTCCGCAAGTAGAGACAGCCTTGGTGACAGCAGAGGTTCCAGGCAGGGGCAGGGCATGTCTGGACAGAGCTTGGCACCATGTTGCAGAGGGAGGGAGCTGTGGATCAGCTTCATCCTCCTCAAATCAGAGACATTTAGCTCTCAGATGCTGCTGCAGCAGCCTTCAAAGTTGCAGACAGTGTGAGGTGCACACTCCCTTCTTCAGCACACAAAGCATGTTTGCTCCCGCAAGAAGGCAGTTATGTATTTTTCAGGAGAAAGCAGTTGCCCTCCTTGTCTTATTCATCACATATATCAAATCAATTTGTGTGTATTTGATTTCAACTTCCCTTGGAGGCTTATAACCCAGTGTGTTGTGGAAGGAATGTTCAATAACTTCTCATCCTAGTCCAGAACCAGTTAATAAAAGCGGCTTTAGGCAACCAGTACCTGCACTACAGCAGCAAAGCAGAGCTCCTGGCAACTGTTGTTTTATGTTTACCAGCTTGAACTCTGCCCTCAGCAGATTCATGCTGTAGTTTCTCTAAAGCTTTTCTGCTATGAAATACCTTCTCTGGGAGCTTTGCCTGCTCCTGCATGCTTGGAAATGCACCCAGCCTAATGTCTTTTCCGCTTGAAGGAATCATTCAGGAAAATCTGTCACGTTTAAGAACCATTCCTGGGCCCAGAAAATAAAAATACAGGGTTTTTTTTTACACAGCTGATAGCTTCAGAAAGGCTTTTTTAGCATTTTTTGTTTCCTTAAACTGTGTTTTCAGCAGGCAGTAGCAGAAATGTGAAGGATGCTATTAGTGGGGCGATGGTTAGAGTCGATGACCTTAAAGGTCTTTCCCCGGTTAATTCTATGATAAACTGCAAAGCTAAAATGGGTGAGTTTGCTCTGTGGTTTTGGAAATGACACGTGTGTCGTTGCATTTCCATAGAGATATTCCATTGCACAATGTGTGGGTCCTAGAAAACGCTGACCTGAGTGGATTTGCCTGGATTTTCTTCGTGGGTTCTTATCATCCTGAAGGCCCTTGTGCTTTCAGAGATGAAAATGACGCCTCTCCTCTTTGTTCCAGGATACCCGTGGTCTCTCGTATGTGGCAAGAACTCTAGCAGAGCGGTGGAAAGATGGGTGTGAAAACCTTCACTCACAACTCCCCTGCGCACAGCCAGGAGATGCTGGGCAAGCTCAACATGCTCCGCAACGACGGCCACTTCTGCGACATCACCATCCGCGTCCAGGACAAGATCTTCCGGGCTCACAAGGTGGTTTTGGCAGCCTGCAGTGATTTCTTCCGCTCCAAGCTCGTTGGCCAAGCAGAAGATGAGAGCAAGAGCGTGTTAGACCTGCACCACGTGACGGTGACTGGATTTATCCCTCTCCTGGAATATGCTTACACAGCAACGCTGTCTATTAACACGGAGAACATCATCGACGTGTTGGCTGCAGCCAGCTACATGCAGATGTTCAGCGTGGCTAGCACGTGCTCCGAGTTCATGAAGTCCAGCATTCTCTGGAATACTCCCAACAGCCAGCAGGAGAAGGTGCTGGATGCAGGGCAGGAGAGCAGTGCAAACTGCAATTTCACCTCTCGGGATGGCAGCCTTTCTCCTGTGTCCTCCGAGTGCAGCGTGGTGGAAAGGACCATCCCCGTGTGCCGCGAGTCGCGGAGGAAGCGCAAAAGCTACATCGTGATGTCCCCAGAGAGCCCCATTAAGTGTAACACACAAACAAGTTCCCCCCAAGTGCTGAATCCTTCAACTTCTTACCCAGAGTCCAGAAATCAGCCCGTGGACTCATCCCTAGCTTTCCCCTGGACTTTTCCTTTTGGAATTGATCGAAGACTCCAGTCTGAGAAGGTGAAGCAGGCGGAGAACTCGAGGACTTTGGAAATGCCTGGGCCCTCCGAGGCCAACAGGAGAATTACAGATTATGTGACTTGTGAGAGCACAAAAGCCAGTTCTCCCCTGGTCATTGAGGAAGACGTGCGTGTCAAAGTGGAAAGGTTAAGTGATGAGGAGGTTCATGAGGAAGTATCACAGCCTGTTAGCGCATCCCAGAGCTCCCTAAGCGATCAACAGACAGTCCCAGGAAGTGAACAAGTGCAGGAGGATCTTCTGATCAGCCCACAGTCTTCCTCTATAGGTATGAGCATCTCTGGGGTTAGATACGTGTACAAATAGGCATATGTGCACTTAATAACACTGCTTTGTATTTTTTTTCCTGCTTTACATTTGGGAAACTGCCTGTTTTTTTCCCTGTTTTATGAAATGTTACATATAAACCCTGATGTGGGGATGGGATTTGGAGCTCTTCAACTTTGCAAAAGGCAACTATGAAAGGGAAGCCTTATTCAGTAGAGATGGAGAACCCCTTTTCGCCTCTAGTTGGTCAACTGGGGAAAATGATTCTGGTTTTATTAGTATCAAACTGGGGACTGTAGCAATAGGACAAGGGGTGATGGGTTTAAACTTCAGCAGGAGAGATTTAGGTTAGATGTAGGGAAGAAGTTCTTTACTGTAAACTGGGCGCCCAGAGAAGTTGTGGCTGCCCCATCCCTGGCAGTGTTCAAGGACGGGGCATGGAGCAAGCTGCTCTAGTGGAAGGTGTCCCTGCCCATGGCAGGGGTTGGAACTGGATGAGCTTCAAGGACCCTTCCAACTCAAACCAGGCTGGGATTCTAAAAGGCATGATCTCAACTGAGCTGCCACACCAAATCTGAGAGACTTGTGGGTGTAGCCACAGAGGGATAGAATGGGACATGAAATCTGGTCTAAGCACGACAGCGAGAGCCTTTGTAAGAAGATTTGCAGAGTGAGTGATGGAACACTGTCATCTTAATGCCCCAGACAGAAGCAAAACCACAGTCTTAATACTGAGAATCTTTCCATTTCTGTGGGATTTGGGTCTCAAGTTGCATCTTCAAATACTGCCAACTGCTGAGAGAAACCTTCTTTTTTTCCATGAAAGACAATTTGAAGCCAGTTTTGGGTTCTTCCAGCTGTGTATTAATAGCTAATACTTCAAGGATACTGTAACAGCCCCTTCCTTTCCTCTCTGCACAGAATGCATTGAATGGCTTTTAGGAAGTCAGAGGTTTTGCACTATTTCTAGTTTAATTACCCAGATTTGGCTCAAATCAGCTCTTTTGCTTTCAGTTCAGTGGCTTGACCTGTGCTGGGTAGTTTGTTTGCTCTGAGATGTTTAATGAAGCCTGGTTTGTTTGAAGAGGGCAAGAATGGCACATACAGTAGCCTGCTTCATTTGAATAATGTATACATGAAAGGCTGCTTCAGTTAGGTAAATAAATGACAACAAAACACATAAATACAGCCTATGTTATTATATGTTTAGTTTGGTCAGCATAACACTGGGCCTCTTCTAAAGGAACTAAACCCATCAGTGTGACTATTGCAGGGTTGCAATATAGAATCCGTGTTGGTAAACTACTCTAGTCACTAAAAAGTAATGCATGTATTTTCCATCCAAGACTTTATGGTGTTGGGTTTGTTCCTCAGTTTGTATAGCTCACGTGTTGGTATTTTAGATGGAAAATGGTTTATTTGCTGGAGATAAGGCTCTTTCTTTCTGCCAAGCAAACTTAATATCAGTTTAAATATAACTCTTGAAGTAGGTTGCCAAAATAGTACATAGATTAAAAACTCTGCTGGGAAGTCTCCAGGAAAAGTGGTCCTTGGTCAAGAATAGGTTTTAACTCCTTAGGGCTGGAACTTCGGAAGGGCCTGAGGTGATTTCAGTTGACAGGTGACTCTGCACATCACATCTGAGCTCAACAGGGGTCTGTTTTGAGGGCACATGTTCTTTGGGATAGTTTTCCATCTCCTTTTTCCTGTTCTGCTCTGGTGAGACCCCACTTGCAGCACCGTGTGCAGTTCTGGTGTCCCCAGCGTCAGAAGGACATGGAGCTGCTGGAGCAAGTCCAGGGGAGGCCACGAGGATGAGCAAGGGCTGGAGCACTTCCCATATGGAGCCAGGCTGAGAACATTGGGGCTGTTCAGCCTGGAGAGGCACTGGCACAGGGTGCCCCGAGAAGCTGTGGCTGCCCCATCCCTGGCAGTGTTCAAGGCCAGGTTGGACACAGGAGCTTGGAGCAAGCTGCTCTAGTGGAAGGCATCCCTGCCTGTGGCCATGGAACTGGATGAGCTTTAAGGTCCCTTCCAACACAAACCAGTCTGGGGTTCTGTGTTTCTGTGACTGTAGATTTTATACCACCATGGTCACATACCCGACCACTTGTGTGGCACAGGGCAAAGGATCTTGGCTGTAGTGATGATAATGTCTAAACCTAAATCTGCTGTTGAGCATGTTATTACACCATGTTCTCCTTTAGAATGGCTGCAGAGAGAAGAAATGTGTTGGGCCAAAGTCTCCAAAGTCCAAATCTGGTTTTGTCTTTGTCTTTGAATTCGTATTTAATGGTCTCTGCATAACACTGTTAACCATCCTCAGCATAGCTTTTATTCACATTTAGCTACAAAGAGGAACAAGACTCTTACTTATTAGCACAGTTCTTATGTACCTGATATATGATGTAGCTAGAAAGCACTTTTTACCTCCCAAAGATGTATTTCCTTATGCAGCAATAGAAGAACAGTAAATGCAGGCAGCAAGATACATTCAAGTACCGCTTTCTCTTCCCTGAACATATTTTCCTCCTATAATTGCATATATTTATCTCAGTGTTTTATAGTGCATTTAGAAAAGCATTCCTGCCTCTCCTTCTGATGGTGCAAAAAGCTCTTATTCACAATTTGGGCCATTTCAAGGATTGTTCATTTGCAATTTATTCTGTTTGGAAGCACTTCCTAAGATGGAAGGAGACATGAAGCGAGGCCCTGATAAATAAGTCATTGTGGTTACAACAATAGATATGTCTGAGAAGAGATTTTCCTAACTCATTAACACTGTTTCCATTTGAGAAGGGAAGGCATGAAATTAATCCTAAGAGCAATTTGGTGTGTTTTTCAGTGAAGTATTGCGAGAGCAAGAAGGATAAAGCAGAATGGGATTGGCTTTTGTAATGCTATAGTTTGCAATGGTGCTGAATTCCCCAAATACAGTTTGTTAGCTCACTCCAGAATTAAACATTTTGATGCTGCTGGTGTTATTCTGAGTAGAAATCTCTGCCAGAGATGCAGTTTCCTCCCATCACCAGCCCATCACGTAAGGGCAATGATAGTTCACTTCAGGAAGGTTTCATAGAACACACTGTCCTTTAGAGGGACAGCTCTTTGGGAGTCTGCACCACTTCTCTGGGCACCCTGTGCCAGCGCCTCAGCACCCTCACAGGGAAGAACTTCTGCCTTATCTCTAACCTGAACTTCTGTTTCAGTTTGAACCCATCACCCCTTGTCCTATCCCTACAGTCCCTGATGCAGAGCCCCTCTCCAGCATCCTTGTAGCCCCCTTCAGCCACTGGAAGCTGCTCTGAGGTCTCCACGCAGCTTCTCTTTTCCAGGCTGAACAGCCCCAATGTTCTCAGCCTGGCTCCATGCAGGAGGTGCTCCAGCCCCTGAGCCATCCCCGTGGCCTCCTCTGCCCTTGCTCCAACAGCTCCATGTCCTTCTGATGCTGAGGACACCAGACCTGCACTCAGTGCTTCAAGTGGGGTCTCACCAGAGCAGAGGGTCAGGATCACCTCCTTCAACCTGCTGGTCACACTGCTTTTGATGCAGCCCAGGGTATTCTTCTACTTAAGGGGTATGATTGCAGGGGTGGGTAGCAGTTCTCAGCATTGTTTTAGCACTGTACTGCCAACTTCCCTCCCTGTTGTGGTGGCATCAGGCCAAACCAACCTTGCTTGATACACCTAAGCAAGGGTTCAGCACCAGAGGGAGGCCCATCTGAGCCACAGCCTCTTCAGGTAATGAGGTAGTTTTGGTTTAGTGCTGCATTTACCTTAGATTCCATTTCCAAAACCCACTTAAGCTGCCTTTGCTTGACTGTTGGTGCCCTGAGCAGAGCCCTGGAATGGTTTTGTGTGTACATTTCTCTTACAAACAGATGTTTGGTCTCTTTTGTGTTGCATTTCTAATGTCTCATGGGGCTCTTTCTCTCTTAAGCATCTTACCAATAAATGAAGGCATTATCAACAGATATACGTATGGAAGGTCTGGAACACACTGTAGTGTAACAGGATTGAACTTTATTGCTCAAGAAGCCTTGAATACTGATGAAATTCCTGCTTTACAGTGCTAGCCCTGGATGTGTTTGGAAAACTCTGGCTCTGTTTAACATAGCTTCTGTTCTAGGTGTGCCAAATATTTGCCCTTTGAGTTGTCCATGTCCTATATAATCTGTGCGGAGGAGTGCCTTTGGAACATGTTTCCTCTGGGTTTCCTAAATGATTTTCCAGGACAATTTTAGGATCTTACACCATTTGGGAAAACAAATGTGTATTCACCTGCCCCTCTGACCCTTTTTGAACACTTCCTTGCGTTGAATCCATCTCTTTTCTTTGCCTAGGCTCAATAGATGAGGGCGTCACGGAGGGACTACCCACACTCCAAAGTACCTCTGGCACGAACGCTCACGCAGATGATGATGATCGGTATGTACCAGTGTGGTGTGCAGACTGTTCTGCTGTGCTGTATAATTACCCTCTCCAGCCTTAATCCCACTATGTTTAGTTGTTCTACATCTACTTCTCGGCGGTGATCAAAGTACAGTCAGTGCCTGAAGGTTCAGGTGCTGTAGAAGAATGGAGGTGATGAAAGGATTTGCTTACTTGTTGCTTTTCATTTCCTGTGAAGAAAGATCGTCATGTTTTCCCTTTATTAATAGAGTAAAGCAAAATCTTCACTGTGAAACAAGTGTGGTAGTTGCATGGATGCTAAAGCTGACATAAAGCTGCAAAACCAAGTCCCTGGTCCTGGCTTCACCAGACTTTGCTATTGCCATAAACCACACAAGAGACAGAACAGCCTTAAATCTTCTCCCCCAAGCTTTCTGCATGTAGCTTCTCACCACGGTGCTGTGTGTCACTTGGTGTAAATATTTAGCAGTCTTTGGCTGGGCTGGGATGAGTGATTTATAAAGGGAATCCCTTATAAGGGAAGGCTGGCAGGGAAAACCAAACTGAAATGGGTCTGTTTGGTCTGAGGTGTAGTTCTCTTACAGCTAGTGTACCTGCAAGCATCACAAGGCTGCACACCACCACTTTGAATGGATTTCTTTGCTTTGGTGGGATGGCCTATAGTTAATTACCCCCTTTCTAAGCAACAAACTAGCTTTAAATAGTGTTTTGTGAGCCATGTGGGGCTGAGGAAGAAGTGGGAACCTTTGGGAGGCATCAGGTAAACCTCCCTGTAGAGAGAAGCATCAAGAGCTGCATTTTCCTAGCTCATAAAATCTTTCCTGCCATTTCCATCTAAAACCTGTCCCATTGCAGGATTAAATCTGAAAGGAAAATAGAAGATTTAATCTATCTGCTAACAAACCACAGTACAAAACCAATACCCAGCACTTAGGATTTGAATTGACAGCAGGAGCACACGTTGGCATTAGAGCTAATCCACATTGTGAAAGCTATAGCTCTAAAGTCAAGTGGAATACGTGTTTTCAGCACTGGATTATTTCAGACATTTCCTAGGAAATTGCAGCGTGTCAGCACAGATCCCAGATACATAAAATCCTTTAAAAACACTGAAAATTCCCACTACAAGTCTCTTCCATGCAGAAGAGGAAAGAATATTTGCCCAGGTTTGAAAATAACAGAAGCATCAGCAAAACTGACTGGAATTCACATAGAATTTGTACAACAAGGGAAGTCATATGGGAATTTTGTAATAAAAAAGTGGGAATTTATGGGAAGTTCAGACTCTAGACCTAATGATTCATTTTATAAACTCAGGTGAAAGTGCCAAGACCTTCCTTACTCCATGAATCCGTTTGAATGCACCTTTAGTTGAAGGGCAGGTTGTACGTCGTTTTATTAATAGGGATTCTCAGAACATCCCAGTCAGTCGTGGGTGGATGATGCAAATCCATATGGAAAACTGTATTTTTTAGTCAGGATGGATTATATTTCTTTTCATAAACCAAAGCAAAAGATGAGGCCATCTAAAGCTGTTCCACTGTTAACATCCTTAGCACTGTGGAGACAATTGTAAGTATTTAAACACTGAAGATTGCTTCTCTCTTGAGTTTCTGTGTTAAATGTGCACGTTAGGAATTGATCCTCCTCCTGAATCAGTGTTCCGTGTAATAATAGGCACACAGCAATCTGTGAAGTATGAAAACTCCTGTTTCCCAGCAAAGGCTGTCTCTGATATTCCACATTTGGAGTATAATGCATTGTTCTAACACATCTGTAATTCAGCCTTGCCTGGCTTAACAGTCCGTGTTTCAAAAGGCTGCATTTAAACAGGAGCTGCAGAGGCTCAGTTATGAAAGGTCTCTGTGATCCAATAGAATGAGAACCTCCACTTAGCTCAAATCATTGTTATTTACACCTAGAGAACACTTTCAGGCTCACTGAGCATTTTGGCACTGCCGTTTGTCAGAGTTCACTTCAGTATGTATACAGTCTCGTGGTGAAAAGAAGGCAAGCCGGCGAGTGGAATAGTTTAGTGTCAGAGGGAAAACATTTCCAACTTATCTCTTTATCTGGCTCTTACAGAAAAGCTCTGAGAGGAAATGTCAAATGCCACAAGTCTCCCATTTGCAAGTCAGGTAAAATGGAGTATTTATGGGGAAAAAGAAGCAGGGGGGAGAGAAAACATGTTTGTGTTGCAGAGGTAGTTCCTTCCTTCTGCTAAGGTCCACAGTTGTGTCCCCAGTAGCTATTTCAGCCTGCTTGCAGCGTGAGGATGGAAAGAGTCACAGCGGTCACTGGTAGCTGGAGAGTCTCATGATTCCCATTGTAGAAGCTCAGGAAGCTTCTGTGTAGGAGAAAAGCAAACTTCAGCCTACATTTCTTCTAGGGGATTGTCCCTGTAGCTCTTCTGTTTCTTGTGGAGAAGCTGAAGTCATTCTCATCTGAGCACAGTGTGAATGACGTACGTGTGTGTACATCAGTGTACACCTGTGAGTGGTTCTTAATACATGGCCAGTCAATCCTTTCTGCTCCCTGCATTGCACATAGCTGTGAAAATTGGAATGGTGAATTCTCCACCCAGCTGAGGGCAAGGAAACCTTTTCCAAAGGGATTTGTCCCTTTGCCAGCCTGCATGAGATTTGACAAGTGCCAGATGAGGGCTTGTTGTCCATCTTGGGCCCAAATCACTTGGGCTGTTTGATCATCAGGCTCTTAGGGCAGCTGGAATTCTATGCTGTAGGTTCTTTTTGCAGTCTTTTCTTTCCCCTTTCCTTTCCCATTTCCTTTCCCTTTTCCTTTCCCCTTTCCCCTCTTCTTTCCCTTTTCCTTTCCCCTTTCCCCTTTCCCCTTTCCTTTCCCCTTTCCCCTTTCCTTTCCCCTTTCCTTTCCCCTTTCCTTTCCCCTTTCCTTTCCCCTTTCCTTTCCCCTTTCCTTTCCCCTTTCCTTTCCCCTTTCCTTTCCCCTTTCCCCTTTCCCCTTTCCTTTCCCCTCTCCTTTCCCCTTTCCTTTCCTTTCCTAAGACAATTTGGGTAGCAGACTTGTCTGTCAGTCTGTGTTGATGGAGTTGTCATTGGTAAAGTGGGAAGCGTACAGCCATAGCAGCTCCAGAGACACAAGCTGCTATTTCCACATCTGAGTAAAATCTGTCCTTTCTCTAGTGAGCTGCTCCCAGAGAGGAACAGGAGTGCCTCAAACAAATCAGAACCTTCCTTTTAAAACCCCTTCACTTATTCCAAGTGCATTTGGGGAGCCCTCAGTTGGCTTTTGCAGGCACCTAAGTGGCAGTGAGCTGCGTTCTGCCAGGCCCAGGATATGAGCTCTAACTTCCCTCTTGCAAACATTCCCTTTAGCAAAGATCAACAGTTCTGTCAGCATCTCTCTTCCCCACAGCTCCCTGGACCCTGCTGTGCATAAAAAGAAGTGAAGGACAAGAAGATTTCTTCCTTAGAGCAAATATTATTCCAGTTCCAAGTGAGACCAGAAATCCTTCTGGGGTTTACAGGCTGATTGCTCCTAAGCTCCTTTTATCTGCTGTGTATCGAGAGGTACCTGGTGCTCTCTTTCTTTCCAGATACATTTTACAGCTGGAGCTTTTGCTGCAGAGCCCCATCACGTGCTCAGAACTCAAATACCAGTTCTCCCAGTGGTACTGACATCCGTTTCCAGAAGTGATTCTTGTCCTCCTGGCCTGGTCTGTGGCTTTGTGTCTGCTGTGCAGGGAAATACCTTTGTGCAAAGTACACGTCTCATTCCTGTGAGTGGTAAAAGTCCCCAAATTCAGCCTAATCTTGAAACCAGCAACCTGGGCTGGAGATGGAAGGGGACCAGCAGAAGGATTTGTTTAGTTAGGGGGACTTTCTGACTATATGCAGCAGGAGACGCATCCCATTTCAGACAGTAGAGTTTAGTCAGACTTAAACTGGAGTTGTTTTGGCTGTGGGATATTCAGGCTCAGAGCAGTTCTCTGCTCCAGTGAGATCTGATCTTCCATCAGGCTGGGAGCAAGCTGAAATGTAGTTCAACACAAAATAGCGACCGTAATGCTCAGGAAAGGGAAACCCCAGGTAAGTCCATACTCCTCTTGCTGTTATGTTTGAACCAGATTTGTTTTCACTGTGCTGTGCCCTTTAGCGAAGCAAACTCCTTGCCGGAGGAGTTGCATTATTCCAGCGTAGTTTTTGCAGCTGGAGGCTATGTAGGAGCAATTAGTCAGTTTGAGCTAAATTCCTTTGAAAGGTAAATTGTTCCTTTCTTGTGTGCTGGTATTTAAATGCAGCTATTCTTGAGCTGTTCTCTTAGAGCTGATTGAATCAGACAGGGAGCAAGTATTAATCAATAGATGAATAGTTTCAACTTAGAGATATGTAATTCATTGAACTTGGAGGGAAATGAAGCAGAATCAGCTTTAACTTCATCCCTACGTATCACTGAAGCTGCAAAATACCCCTTTGCTTCCCAGTCCTGAAATTCCTCCTCAGGGGCTGTTTGCTGATGGGAAATGGTCGAGATGCTTGAGAAAATGCCCACTCCTAAAGTTCAGTTTGCAGCTGGTGCTCAAAGGAGCACAAGTCAGAGGTTATTTCCCTGCCCGTGGCAGGGTTGGAACTGGATGATCTTTAAGGTCCTTTCCAACCCAGCCCAGTCAGTGATTCTGTTCTAGGGCTCTCTGGTGTACGAAGCTGATGACTGTGAGGATTCAGATGCAGGTCAGAGGCAGATTTCCAGAGCAGTGTGATGTGCCAGCCTTTTTCTTCTTCTCATCCAACTGTGTTCAAGGCTCAGCTTTCCACTCCCTTATTCTTTTTCCCTCTAGCTCGCTTGTAAACGAGTGACTTTTCTCTTTGTAGTTTGGAGAACGTTCAGTATCCCTACCAACTCTACATTGCTCCTTCTACCAGCAGCACAGAGAGACCCAGCCCCAATGGTCCAGACAGACCTTTTCAGTGTCCAACCTGCGGGGTCCGCTTCACTCGCATTCAGAACTTAAAACAACACATGCTTATCCACTCAGGTAAGAAACCTTCCAAGAATTACTACTTTATAGACTCAGTAGAATGGAATAATGCAGTTCTGCTTTAATCCCCTGCCAAGTGCTGGAGGATTTCGGTTTCAGAGAGATTGGAGAGAGGTATGTCTCCCTGAATGCTTGTTTGGATCCATCAAATCTGATAGTTGTGCTCATGGATGACGAGCGTTTGTGTGGACTGAAGAAAAGCTGTTTGCCTGAAACTCATCAGAACAAGTCATTTCCATGAGATGAACTGAAGTATACATGGCTTTTTCATTCTCCTAAAGGAATTATGTAGACTGAAGTTCTTCCTCTTCCATGTTGTAATCGTCTGCAGTGTTCTAGAGGAGACTTGCAACCATAAGAGTATGTTGTCTGTCTTATGTCTTTGCATTGAAGAATGTTGTATGCCTTTGGATCTCAGAGGTTTTGGAGGGTTTGCAGGGCAACTGATTTGGTTTGATCAGCAATTTAGCTCCTACAGATAGTACATGTAGCAAAAGGTTTGGGTGAACACCTCCTCGGGGTCTTGATCCCCAAATTGTTGCATTCATACTGATTTCTAACCAAGTATGAACACCTAATGTCTTTACTCGTGGTGTTTTTCACTTGTCAGCATTATCTGGCAATAGCATTGAAATTGTAGTGGATGAAGGGAACCTGGAAGGGTTATTGCACTGGCGCATTCGGTTTAGCACCTCCTGGTTTGAGCTTGACTCTGACCTGCGCACAGATGCTGTAGTATTTTGGGGCAGAGCAACCACAGTTGTCAAGAGGTGATTTTCTTCACTGTCAGCAATTATTCCTTCAGGCAAAACAACCATCCTGTGTTTAGGCCAGCAATAATAATACGAGTTCAACACTTAAAAACCCCAACTTTGGGGGCATATCAGCTGTGAAATTATCCCTAGCTGCCTGCTCAAGTCTTAACTGACAGCAGACAGACAGACAGCAAAGCATCTTTGGCCAACCCATCAAGTAAGCAAAGTAGGAGAGATTTGGATGGCTGTTTCAGTGTAATCAGCATGCAAAAGAAACCCTCAAATCTGTTTGATGTTGGCAGTGTTTTCCCATAAGCAGAATGGCTGAAGAGATTTTCCTCCAGCTGTCGGAGGAAATAGATGCCTTTGGACAGTCCAAGAGCATGACGGGGTTTAGCTCCACAAGACAATATCCTGGTGTATTAACTTGTTTTCATGTGCTTAACAAGGAGTTTGAGTGTAACCTTAACTACAGCTTTCTGTGTCTAAAAGCCCCAATTAATAGTTGAGCTCCTGCTTTGAACATAAGGAAAAGCAGAGTGGAATTAACAGCCTGGGCTGATGCGCATTCAGCCTTTTGAATGAACCTTTTTCCTTCCTTGACAGCCCTATTATGAATAGAGCTCCAGATTGCAGATTCTTGGCCTCGTGGTTGGATTGCCACACTTTGTGGAGCTCAGTGTTTTTATTCAATCTGAACTTTCTGGTGATACAGTCTTCTTGTGTCGTAATGGTTGTGTTGGGGGTGATTCCACGCTCTCGGCCACTGCCCCATGTTGCAGAGCTCTCACGTTTAAGGGGTTTATTACTGTAATAGGTGCAAAATGAACCTGTAACAGAGTTTCAGAGGCATGAACTGTCTTGGAGAGCTGCGTGTCATGCAGAGCTGCTGAAAATGGTTGTCCAGAGAGGTTCCCACGCAACATAAAAGCTACTCCTTCCCCCTTTTATCACCATTGCTGCTGCATGACAGGGGCATCCTTGTGCACACAGTCCCCCTGCCAGAACACTTCTCTGAGGCCAGAGGCAGCCAGGAATAAAGCCCCTTGCAATTAAGGGCAGGCTGATAATTGCTTTGTTGGGAACCAGTCTGGCACAAGAATCTCCTGAGATCAAAGGACTTCAAAGGTGGTTTGAGATGACTGCTGCAGCAGATACTTTTTGGCTGTGGCTGAGGATTTTAACCATGGTTTAATCCAGGGAGGCTTTTGTTCCTGTTAAACTGTGGGGAAGAAGAGTGTGAGTGTTAGGGACAGGTCACACTGCTCTGAAATGCATTGGCAGTTGGGTCAGAGGAAGTGGAGCTCTGTTCTATGTGTCCAGGGGAAATTCAGGTTGGGCATAAGGAAGAAATGGTTCCCTGTGAGGATGGTGAGGTGTTGGCAGAGAGAAGCTGTGGCTGCCCCATCCCTGGCAGCGTTCAAAGCCAGCTCGGATGGGGCTTGGAGCAACCTGCCCTAGTGGAAGGTGTCCCTGCCCGTGCCCCTGGAACCTGATGGAGCTTTTAGGTCCTTTCCAACCCAAACCATTCCATGATTCTGTGGGTCCTGCCATTTTTAAGTGAGCTGCTTCCCAGAGCAGCGCTTTGCCGTGCGCGGCCGCAGCGGCTGCCCTCTTCCCGTCGGGAATCTGGAAGGATGTTACCCCTGAGCTCTCGTCCCAGGCGGTGACTGAGTGTTCCTTTGCTCTCTCCTCGGCAGGCATTAAACCATTTCAGTGCGACCGCTGTGGGAAAAAGTTCACCCGCGCTTACTCGCTCAAGATGCATCGCCTGAAGCACGAAGGTAAACGCTGTTTCCGGTGCCAGATATGTAGTGCCACTTTCACTTCCTTCGGGGAATATAAACACCACATGCGGGTTTCCCGGCACATTATCCGCAAGCCTCGGATTTACGAGTGCAAAACATGTGGCGCCATGTTCACCAACTCTGGGAATTTAATCGTTCACCTGAGGAGCTTGAACCATGAAGCGTCAGAGCTAGCAAACTACTTCCAGAGCAGGTGAGGTGCACAGCAAAAACCTACCAGGGAAACGTGCTTTTCTCTTCTTTTCCTTAAACCATCTTTTCCTGCTTGCAGGGCAGCCTGCTGTGCCTCTCCTCAGGCTGCCCCCCAAAGCATTCTTGAGCCACTATCTGTTGTATCTCCTGTCTTAACAGCGTCTGAGCTGTGTAGGAGGGCACTGAAGGATGCGCAGGCTGCTTCTGGGGTTACTTCATTTCTCTTTTCAGTAGTACCTCTGGACAGGCTGATGGTGTTCAACCAGAGCGTTACGCACTGGAGGGTCTGTGGAGTGCAGTGAATGATTTGCTACTCAAAACCTGGTCACTTACGTAGGGAATAGACTTACTGCTGTATTTTAAGCCCTTGCTCGATGTGGAAAGGTTGCATGACTCCATGCCTTCTCTTTTTTCATTTTCTAGGTGACCTGTTACTAAATGATTAGACAAACAGGGTCTGAAATAGTCAGGACCCTTTGTGCATTTCTTGCTTAGCAGGGCACAGAAGACTTGGCCTGACTCACAAAGGCACTTCACTGAAGGGCTCTGAGGTTCAGCCAAGCACTGTGTTCCCGTATCCAAATAAATGTTTATAACTGTTGGAATTTGAGATAGGAAAACACAAAAGCGGATGAGGGAACTTGGAGAAAGATGGATTCTGCAGCTATTACGCCTATAGGGAGAGTGCAGCTTGGTGCCAGTCTTGAGCAGAGCAAGACAAATGTAACCGTCACAGCATCGACGGCACCGTCCCTCGTGGTTTCTAAACACGATGCTTTTCGCCCTACAAAACACTGCAGCATTTTGTTCTGTTTGGTTATGTCAGCAGTGATGTAACAGGAGAAAAATGGCAAAACAAAGCAGGAAAGCCAGGCAGTGTTTTTCCAACAGAAGATTGCTTAAAAGTACAAGTGCTTCGGATCTGGGGCTTTACGCACTTCTCGTTCTTAGCGCTTGTGCTAAAACTGGAGCCGTGGTTGTGGAAAGCACTTGATTGTTGTCATCAAATGCAAGTCAGATTGAAGAATGTGATTTTAGGGCCTATAGGCCTCCCTTCAGTTTGAGGCTTAGAGTATAGTGAGTAGGGATTTAAAGCTGCTGTCATTTAAGAACAGGACTGCTTTTAGATGGTTTAGTACAAGGAGGAACCAAAGCAAATGTGCGTGTATGTAATGCATACATACTTGCCTCAAGTGCAAACTCACATGTCTGGTGCTGATGTGTGAAGATACTGCTGGGAGTTTGGTAGATTTTCTTTGGGTGCATCCATAGGAAGAGTGTGTTCCAGAAGTGCTGTCCAGAAAAGGGCTGGGATGGGAAGTAACTGCATGTGGTATGAGTCAAGAACACAAAGCACTACTACAGGTGGCAGAACCCTCCCCTTCTGCTTATGCACTGTGAGGGGAGTGCTGCTGCTCTTTCTGGGGTGGATCTTATCTCAAAGGGCACATCTTTGCCGGTGCTGAGCTCAGTTTTGTTTTTCCTTTGAAAAGCTGAGTGCTCCCTTTTTTCCAAGGAGGTTTTCAGTGCTAGGGGATGTTCCAGACGTTAACTTTCATTCTCAGCAAGGTGATACAACCTGAATAAGAAGAGGTTGCTGCGTAGGAAATACAGATTCGAAGTAGATGCCTTTGAATACAGTCTGTGTGTGTTTAAATGGGAACCAGGGTATAGTGCTTAGTGAAGTATGTCACTGTGATGGTCTCGGGGCAATGTGAAATGAATATTCTTGTTCTCTGTGCAATGCTTTGTGTAGCTTGTGTGATATAAACTGCTGCCTCTGATGTTTGTGTGAGAAATGACATTTCTCTTCTGTCCTTTGCCCCTCTTCTAGTGACTTCCTAGTACCGGACTACTTAAACCAGGAACAAGAAGAGACCCTCGGGCAGTATGAGCTAGGGGAGCATGGCTTTGAAAGCAACTCTTCTGTCCAAATGCCTGTCATTTCACAGGTGTCATCAACTCAGAATTGTGAAAGCACTTTCCCCTTGGGGTCTCTGGGTGGGTTGGCAGAGAAGGAAGAAGATGTGCCAGAGCAGCCAAAGACTAACGCCACTGCTGAGGCAGCCGCAGGTGACCCTCCGAAACAGGAGCTGTCATCCATTACTATTGAATAAGTCATGGTTTGGTTTCATTTTTGTTCTTTGGGAAGTGCCTGTGTTTGGTCCTGTACATTTTAATTTAATTCTTTTTTTTTTTTTTAAAGAGAAGTGGGGAGATTTTTCCCTTTTTCCTTTGTAAGCTACGCTTTAAACCGAAAACTGCACCAGATGTTACGGTATTTGTCATGACTGAATGCTCACTTCTGCGACAATACTTAAGACTGATTGCACAAAACCAAGATCCTGTCAGAACACCATGGAAGCTGTGAGACACCTCTAAAGAAGAACAACCCATTCAGATCACTTTAACTCTCTCTGCTTCCACAGTTAGAGCAGCTCATTGCGTTTCTCTTGCTGCTGCAGACCCTCTGGTGAAGGGACAGGGATCAGAGGAAACCTGTTTAAAATGACAAGCATTGGGAAGCAGTCCCGAACGGTTTGAACTAGTTTTGAGTGGATGCTTTAATCTCCCGTGTAGAAAATGACACTTCCTAGCTCTGTGCCTACTGTTTTTCAAAGCACTTACTGTAACCCTTCCCTCGGAAGCAGTAAGCAGTTTTGAAACACAGCCACACACATTGTCCCTTTTCCATCCGAAACGAATCAGTTTTGACAAACCCAGTGATGTCCTGCCAGGTATTCCTCCTCCTGATATCCCAGTCCTTTTAGCAGCTGCTTCATCAAACCACATTTGCCCATCTAAGGTCAGGCATGGAAATAGTGCGGTCAGGGAAAAGCCTAATGGTGAGGAATGGATTGAGGCTAGAAAAATACATATCCAAGCAAGCCTGACAAGTATCTCGTGACTGTGTGTCTCTGCAGAAGGGGAACCACGTGTGGAAATGAAGGTTTTCCCAATAAATTCTTCAAAATCACGGCCAGATTGTCCTCAGGAAGCACATTCCTTCATGAGGAAGTGAAGTTCTGGTCGCTTCCCCCTGTATACTTTTGACTGATCTAACTAGAGGGAGTTTACAGCCAGGAAGAAATGAGCTCTCTTGTGCATTATTGCACGACTTCTGTTTCTCCATGTGCATGTATAGCTTCTGAGAGGTTTATGAGGCTTGTTTTGGACAAAACAAGTGGTTTATTCTCTTTAGAGGCCAACTTTCTAACCCAGCAGGGGGTTGTTTACAAAAAGCCTATAGAGCAATGGTGTTCCTGTTCCCAAACGTTTGAAGTCCTTGCCAAGTGGGTTTATTACAGGCCATGACTCCAGCTCCGCACCCAGCTCGTGTAAGCAATAAATGGAGAGATTTGCAGTTTCATTTTTTCCATAGGTAGAGAAAAAAGCTGCAAATTGAGGCTGGGGGCTTTTCAGAGCAGGGGGGGTTGCTTTGGTGGAGCTCTAGAACTGCTTTGAGAGCAAAATACAAGAGGAGGTTGGTGATTTTCCTTACTGCTTCTGACGTGAACTCAGTGTTGGATGCCAAAATGCCTACTGCTATCTGAGTATTCCAAAGGCACGACATACCCCCTTCGTTTTGAATCTTGTGTTCTCTCTGGATTTGGTTTGCACAGGCATGAGGAGGAAATGAAATCGATGGAGAAAGGTTGCCCCTGACAAAACAGAAGGCACAAAAGTCATGTTATATTGCAAGATAGGTCTGTATTCTGTTAGCTTAAGGAAGCTCTATGGCCCCGAGTTGGTTCTACAAATAGGCAGCTTGGGTAAGATAAAATGTTTTTTGCCCTTTGGAAAGAGCTTAAAGGGTTTCAGTGACTTCAGCATTTTTCCTCTGCTGTGTTTTAGGTAAAACCCACACATTTTAGTTAAATAGAGCAAAACCGGTTGGGTTTTAAGCCCTTTCCAAGTTACTGGAATGAAGTTTCTGCACCAAAGGGTGTTTTAGGAACATGCTGCAAAGTTCTCTGCTACAATCCAGTCGTGTGTGTCTACCTTTGTTAGGTCTTCTTAAAAGGGCTTGAAGGAGAAACTCTCTTTTGGGGATGCTGTACTGTGTCTGTTGATGGGATAACTTAAAGACCAGTTCTCTTCTCCCACTTCCAATTCCTGTCATTGAGAAACCAATGCCTTTTGCTGAGTTTTATCCTGAACTATAGGGCTATGACACTGAACTGAAATACATCATTTCTTTTTGTCTGATAAGTGTTCCTCCGCTTTGCAGGTCTGTGAGAATCCTTTGTGATTCCTGTGGTTAAAAAGTACTTCACACACAAATGCATTTCCAGCCTGCACAGAGGCCAGAATCAAAGGTGGACATCATCTTCTGTCAGAATCTGGTAATTTCACCCTTCAGGTGCTTTGCTAAACAGGGTGAGGAGTTGCACAAATACAGCATGGGCATACCTGGATTAAACTTTTGTATCAGAAGGCAAACTGCTTTCCCAATACCAAAGAGAAGGGGAGGGGGGGGGGAAGACTTTGTAGTTCTAACATGTTCTTCCTTGAAAAGAAAAGTATCATTAACTGCTAACACCTTGGCACAAGGCAAGCCATGGGTTTCTTCATTCATTGCACTGAGTTATAGCATCCCAGACTGGGCTCACCCAGTTCCAGCCCCCTGCCATGGGCAGGGGCACCTTCCAATAGAGCAGCGTGCTCCAAGCCCCTGTGTCCAACCTGGCATTATCTCTTCAACCCTGTGGTCTCAGTGTAACATCTTAATTCTCACTTTTCAATCTGATTCAACAGCAGGAACAGGAGAGTTTATTTGGTTCAGGCTTGGGTTCGCTGGTTCGTGTTCCTGTGTGTAATTGTTTCTTGTTGACAGCTCTTTTCTCCATTGAAGCAACCACACGTGAAATACAAGTATCACTTTATTTCTCCTCCCTAACTTGTTGGAAGAGCTCAGTTCCTTGACATGCTGGTGTTCTTCGCAGGAGAGGTGCAAAACATAGGACGTCTTCAACCAGTCCCCGTTTCTAAGATGCTTAGATTCCAAACTGGGGGAGATGGAGATCTCAGTAAGCTGGAAGAAACTTGCCTTAAACTACACTTGGGTTTAAACCTAAAGCATAAGTTTCTTTCAGTCCGTTATCAGAGGAGGTTGAAATCTGGACTGCATTTTCTTCTTTTCTCTCCTTTCTTTTTTCTTCTTTCCCTTTTGTTCTTTCTCTTATTTTCTGTTTATTTTTTCTGTTTTTTTTCCCCTTTTTTCTTCCCCCTCCAAAAAAAAAAACCAACAAACAACCCAACCATTATTTGATATGCATTTATATTGCTGCTTGACAGGGATCCCAGAATGCCGCAAGAGTTGAACTGGAAGGGACTTGGAGGTGATCTTCAATCCCTGCACTCCAAACAGAGTCAGCCCAAGAGGTTGCTCAGTCCAGGCAGATAAATACCAGCCCAGGTGGACACTCCCCAGCTTCTCTGGGGAGCCTGTTCCTGTGTCTGGCCACCCTCAAAAGGGGTCAGTACCTTTGGGTGGCATTGCTTGTATCGCAGTCTGCTCCCACTGAGAAAGGCCTGGCTCCATCTTTGTCCCTTCCCATCCACTGGTTTTGAACATTACTAAGACAGACAAACCAGATCACTCAGCCTCCATCCCTCCAATCCCTTCATCTTTAAGTTACAAGTGGTTTAGTTCCAAACAGCTCCACGTGCGACCTGCTGCAGCTGTTTCTTTGTCATTGAGTGGTCTCCAGATCCATCCACAGTGTGATTTCTGTCCTTCTCCCACGTGGCACCAATCTTTGCACTCGGTAGCAAACCCTTTCCTCCCCTGTTCCTTTTGCAAGCAGAGTGCCTTCACTAACCACAGAACTAGCAAGGTTCTGCCCTATGCCAGGGACCCGGATCCTCGGAGTCTGTGCAGGGTCTTTACTCCTTGTGTATCATGTAGAGCAGTACACCTGATGGGAACAACGGGAAAGGAAGGGATAGGCTTTGTTCCTGATTTAATGTGGTGTTTTGGGAGAGGGGGGAAAACTCAGAAGCTTTTTATTTCCCCACAAAGTGGAAGAAAAAGAAGCAATGTTTTAACTGTGCGAGAGGTTTGGCTGAGTCGTGAGGGTTTGGTTTGGTTTGGTTTGGTTTTCCATGCAGAGACTGGAAATCCATAGGGACACCTACACTCGTAGCCACTGAAGCTCGTGGCCAGAACTGCTTTTGTCACTGTTCTTAACACTGCATTAAACAAGACGTGTGTTGGAGTTTGAGTTCGGTTGTCAGGCTCGCAGATACTATGGTCAAGTCTCTCATAGTGAGAGATTAGTTAAGTTATGGGAAATCGTTCCGGGTTCACATGTATCTTGAGTCTAAAAGGTGTGAATTTAGGCTTTTTAAAAGAAGTAATAGCTGCCAATGCAGTCAAATATATTTTGTAAGACTATGATCCCTATATGTCCCTTCTGGGATAAAATGTTACTGTTTTTAAGCTATGGTTTCAAGTTTTTATATGAGGGCTTCAGTCGTTTCTTGGTTGCTGGCTTTCCCCTCCAGCCCCAGGACGTAAGAGCACTGAGACTATTACTGGTCTCTCCCTGAGAGGAACCAGGAAGCATTTTATATGCAAATAGAAGGGGAGCTTTGTGCACCCTGCAGGGATGGAGAAACTGGGGCTGTAGGAGCGCCCGTTGTTCCTGCGTCCATTGCAACTTCCACACCATCAGAATATGGGAAAATAGCTAATGTTCATTCAGATCCATTAAGTTGGAGTTTTGCTTCCGAGGTGAAACCCGGTTTTGGAGGGTTCTCATCTCCAGTTATGGACATAATAAGTTCCATAGCATCTCAATGGCAGATAAGTGGGTTCAAGGCCGGACAGAACCTCAACCCCATCAGAGGTCCTTAAGAAATGGAGTCAGTTCCAAGTATTGGAGGAAATGTACCATAAAAGAACCAAATGTGAATTACTTTAATGCAACAGTGCTACTGCTCTGGGTTTTTGTTAACTCAACGTGTGCTATCACAGTAATTCAGTGTCCCACAGGTCTCAACTACAACCCTGGTTGCACTAACAACAAAACTGAGCTCCTGGTGCTGTGTGGCAACTGTTAACCTACAGTCTTCCTGAGGGTTGTTGAAGTCCCCAGAGGAGTGATGTTGTTTCACCATTCCTTTAGCTGATGCATGCTTTTGATATCCTCACCTATAGCCCTGGCTACAGCAAGTCCTTGGACAGCTTCTTCGCCCTGTTCCCGCAGTGCCTTCACTTTAAGGTGCTGCCCTATGGTGAAACCCCTAAGAGGGAAAAAGAGGGAAAAAAACAAATGTGAATTAAGTTATTGTTGGGCTTCTTTGTGCATTTTAGTACCAGTGGAACCCCCTTTAACTTGTGCCAGTCTCCAGTCACCAGCCGTATATCCCGTTGTCATCTCATCCCCAGTACAGCTTCTCTTGTTGATGCTGGCCACAGCTAGATTACTTGGCATGTTTATTGACTTCCCCGAGTTGGGGGCTTTTTTTTTGGGTTTGGTTTTGTTTTTTAATGTATACGATGTTTAAATACACTTCACATTTTATAGACTCCTCTCTGGCTATTAGTATTTTTCAGGAACCATAGTTCTTGGTGGCTCTATCTATTTTTGTGACTTCTTTTGTAAACCAAGTGCCGTTTCAACGTTACAATCATTTTTAGAGTTCTTGTAACCAATGTGAATATCATGGGTTTTCCAATCTGTTCTGAGCCTGTAGTGTTTGCTTTGTGATCATCTGTGTCATGTATATATTCTGTATAGTTACATTGTATTGAAATACTAGCTTGTTTGATATAAGAAAAGTATGTATTGGGTACCTTTTTGCTAGCCTGGTTGTTTAATCTTTAAAAAAAAAAAGGTTTAAAATACAAAAAAAAAAAGCCAAACTGGTCCCATTATAGGTCAAAATTAAGGGGGGAGAAAAACTAGTTTTGAGTGTCTTTGGATAGAAACATGAAGCTAAGATTTTTCATTAAAATATTAATGTTTTATGGAGTATATCTTTGCTTTGTGTCGTTATTTGACTCCGGAGGTTGGCTCGAAGCCCGAAGGGCCACCTTTGCCTTGGGTGAAAGGGTGCAGCTCGGGTCCCAGAGCTGTGTTCTCTTGCAGCTTTTGCTTGTAGTTAGTCTCAGAAGGGAGGAGGATGAGGAGGACTCGCTGGTGCTGAAGCTGTCGTTGGGGAGGAAGGTGGCTTAAACCAAGAGAAGCGTTAAACGGTTGGAGAAGTGATGTGAGTAAGGAGTATTAAGAATAAAGTCCACATTTCTGTTTAATTTTCCATGGCATATCACATTTCCTTTTGTTAATGTTCTCTTTTAGGCAACAGCCATCTTTTAGCGATGGAAAGCCAGCTGAGAATGAGCCAGATCACATTAGTCAGAGCAGAGGATGGTTAATAAGGACAGTAGAGAGTCATCGCGATTGCAGCTGTGAGCTTCAGAATAGGCACAAAACACCCTAGATCCTGGGATTTAAACCACACCTCTGGTGTTTCTGGTGACCCTTGCAGTTGATTTGCCTTCTCCACATCCACCTGTGTGTCTGAGCTGGAATGCTGTCGGGATCAACACATAGCTGGGGCACAGGTAGGAAAATGAGAGGTTGGTAATGCTTGGCTGAAATGCTGGTAACTCTGCCCAGTGGCTTAGGTGGGTAACCAGCAGGCTGGCGTGAGGGATACACTCCAGTAATAGAACCATAGAATCATAGAATGGTTTGGCTTGGAAAGGATGATCCAGTTCCAACCCCCTGCCGTGGGCACCTCGCTTTAAGACCATGTCACCCAAGGCATTCACTGGGCAAGGGATGGGGCATTCACTGCTGCTTTGGGCAGCCTGTTCCAGTACCTCAGCAGCCTCACAGGAAAGAACATCTTCCTTCTGCCTAATCTGACACAGGAATGAAAATGAAAAGGGAAAAGCGTTGCGTGGTGCAGAGTAAGTGGCCACAATTAACCTTGGATGGGGAATGGGGCAGGGAAAGTGGTAAATTCCAAGTTACTTTCCTGAGGAGCTTGTGCAGGGACGAGTATTTTATCAACAGCGTGGCTGAAAGAGGGAGTGTATTTGGCGAAGGCTTTGGAGAGAATGAAGGTTGAGATGGAAAAGCTTTAAGCCTTTTGGTCTGCAAAAGCAAGGATTTTGCTGCTTTGAAGACAGGCAGAGCCTGTTAGGAGCACGCAGTGATGCTTAGCAGAGCATTCCAAATGTGAAGCTGTGTGACTGTATATGAGCATACGCTATCATCACCGCTGAGACTCATACCTTTGATGGAGCTCGAGCTTCAGGCTTCTGACTCGAGGGGGTTTCTCCAAAGCACAACCATATGGTTTAAGTTTAGCATGAAACATCTTTCAGACATCCTTAACAAAGCAAGTGGAGGTTTTTCTGTGGCTTCCTTATAGCATTGAAGCATTTCATTCCTGGCAGGAATGAAGTACTATTTCTTTTGCACAGAGGCTGGGATGAGATCGAACTCGTAGCTACCGAGACTGTATTAGAGCAGGGAACAGAGTTCTCCCAGGGCTTCCTGGTGAAAATGAAGCTGCTAAGAGCAACCTGGCTTGGATTACGTCTAAAGGGCTTTTCACAAGCTGCTTGTGCATGCTGCATCTCCAGAGTACTGAGCCGAACTCTGTCATCATCTTAGAGCAGAGGTCGCAGTGAGACCGTGAGCGAGCGGAGCAGGGTAAGCGTGTGCGTGGTAGAGCCTTGGTTACAGCTCAGAGACGTGTGCCTTTGCTCATCCTCAGTTTGGGGGTCTGGTACCACTGTGTTTTCAGAGGAGGCACGCACTCTTGGGGCAGGTTCACACTTCCTGCTCATAGCCCTGATGTTCTTAGTCACAGGTCCATTAGAAAGAGGCCACAGCCACCCAGAGTGAAATCCATGCATTTGAAAACCACTCCAAAGGCTTCAGTTCACTGCCTTTGATCCTGAGTTGCCTCTGGCTCAGTCACAAGGGCTCCTGCTAGAGACGAGAGCAACTCACGGGGCATCTCTTTGTGTATCTCTCTTGAAGCTTTACCTCTGATTGTTGAAGTTTGAACTCTTCCGTCACATAAGAGAGGTACCCAACTGTATGTTCGTTCGAGTGGCCGCACCACCATAACTGGCTCTGAGACACCCCCCCCTCCAATACAACTGCTGAGATTTATGTGGGATTCTCTTTGAGAATACATCCACTGCTTCTGGCTAAACTGCATTCCCAGTTTTCGTATGCCTGCATAAACCTAAAGGCTCAGGCCTTGCCTTTGTAATGCATCATTTGGAAGGTAAGTGATTATTCTCACACAGTACTGCTTGTTCGCCTGGACACGCACGTGCCCGCACGCACGCTATCTGTGTGCTCATTCCAAAGGAATTTGGGATAGCAACCATCCAAAAACATCAATAGACCAACTCTTTCCTTGCTGCTTCCCTACTGGGGATGTCTTTTGGTATCCAGCATGACTGTCTTTTGTATGGTGAATGCCCCTTGTAGGGACTAGAAGGCATTGGGAATAGGAACTGGAAATGGAGCACCTGAACCCTTTGGAGGCAGGGAAGACATCTCCCAGGTGAGTACACCTCTGAGTCAGAGGGGAAGAACCAGAAGTGAGAGGAGCAAGGAAACTGTGATGTGTGGAGGAGGTGACTCTCACTTCCAGGATCCCTTTTGCGTGTGTACAAGTGAAGAAGCCATCGTTTGATGCAGGCACAAGGAGAAATGGTCCCTCAGGGTTTGGTGCTGCATCACTGAGGGCTTACAGTCCACTGGCATCCAAAGAGCCACATCAATTACAATCCCAGGCCATTAAAGCATTTCAATAGACTGCCTTTCCAAAAATGTGCTTAAATGGCTCCTCAAGAGCTCAGCCACTCGGTGAAGTTTACGTCTGTGCCTCAGCACGGGGTGCTTTATAGCCTGTGTGTTAGTGGGGTGCACAGAACTGGTTGTGCATAAACAGAGCCTCGCGCTGCGTGAAACACAACTGGAGAGCAAAGGCACCCAAGCCCAGGACTAATAGGCAACAGAGCTCCGAAAAGCAAAACAGCTCTTCAGGGTAGGGCTTCATCTTCCCAAATCTAACCGAGAAGAACAACAAACCCCTTTTGTGTAACCTCAGTGTTGCAGGGATCGGTTTCAGGGCTGACGTGACGGCAGTTGCAAACAACAGTTATGCAACTGCCCCCTTGATTGAGCTGAAGTTAATACAGGCAGAGAAAGAGCCAGACACCGAGGACTGGCTTTGGGTTGGCTTGTTCTGTTCTCAAGAGCTAAAACATGCTCAGGTCAGGCTGCACAAGAACAGAGTGAGTGTTCGGGGCAGGATTTCGTTTCTCTTCTATGGGCCCTTTCCCTTCTTCTTTTTACGTCCCGGTGAGGTAATGCAGGGTTCTCGTTTTCCTTGAAACCTCTTCTTTTTCAGAGCCAGTTTAACCCAGTGAATCACTGGGAATTGGGATTCCAGTGTCACTGGTTCCGCCCTTGGAGCCCAAGGCCCACGTCCCCGTGTGTGCAGGCGCCTTAGTTCCTCCACTCACCATCTGGAAGGCGTTTGGATGTTGCGGAGTGGGACTGCTGCACATTGCACAGGCAGCATCTGGTGTCTCAGAGACAGCAGAGGTTCCCCTTCCTCAGAGGGAACCCTGCTGGGATTCAGGGAAGGAAGCATCCCTGCCGCAGGTAGGGACACCTTCCACTAGAGCAGGATGCTAGCCCCATCCAACCTGGCCTTCAACACTGCCAGGGATGGGGCAATGCCAGGGTTGACCTCTTATCAAACAAATCCCAGGCCTTTCCTGTTTCTCCTGCGCTTCTCCCAGTGACTCAGGGGTAACACATCCAGGAAGAGATGGGAGATACGAGTTAAACCCATTGTTTGCTCCTCCTCACCTTTTCTCCCCTGCGTAGTAGGAGGCAGAGGAGCCTCAAGCGAATTTGCTTCCAGTGGGAGAGCAGGAAGCGGATTTTGGAGGCTCCTACACTGACGTGTGCTGCTGGGAGTCATGCAGGGAATTCGCTCTCTTGCATGCAGCAGAGAGCAAAGGGCCAACTGAAACCTGCAGAATGCAGCACACGTGGGCTTCAAACATGCGTGCTCTGCTGCAAGGAGCTTTCGTGTGGGTTCCCTAACGGGTTTGCCTTGCTGTTGAGCTCAGCTCAGCTGGAAGCTGCCTCTCTTAGCTGGTGAGTTCCCAAAGGCCACTGGTTTACACTCATCTTCCCCAAGCCCGTAACTCAGCGTGGCAGATTCCCCTTGATGTGCCTTAGGTGACACGAGCGGAGGAGCTACCTCGCCATCCCTGCTTGCCTTTCCTCCTGTTGCTGGGGGTTCTAAAGGGGCAAGGAAAAAGGGGAAGCTCACATGGCCTTTGCCATCTCTGGAGCCCGAAACAAAGCCCTGGGAGGTGAAATGTGATGTTTTGCTTAGCCTTCCCCTCTGGAGACATGAAAAGAATTAGAGGAGCTTGATCTATGGCGTGGCTCAGCAGCTGTGATGGGTGCTTTGTTAAAGTCCATCGCAATCAAGCTAACACAAACCAGAGCCTTCCCCTGTAGCTTTCTGTAACCCTTTAAAAAGTGATGGATGCTTTGCAGCGGGAGTGGGGAGAAAGCAGTAGGTGAGGTCAAACAGCACAACGTGATAAGCAGGACGATTAATAGCCCTTAATGTGAGCTCGCAAGCTCTTGGCTCCTTGAAAATGATGTAGTTTATAATGCAGGACAGATTGCCTTCATCAAAAGAGCCATTGCAATAAAGCAGCTCCAAGGAGGGGATCCTTTTCTCTCTCTGTCTTGAGCAGTTTTGCCCCTCTTTGTGCTATAGGAGCGATGCAGCTTTGGGAGAGGCAAACCAGCAGCCAAACTCTGGTGGCAATGGTGCCTTTTCCCCTGTCTAAATCCCCTGGGTCAGCTGAACTGGATCAGGGCACGATCTGGTTCTGTCTTTAGAGGTAGTGACGATGCAGGAAAGCCTGCCCCAGAGTGGGTTTGCAGGACCCATGGTCTGAGAAAGCCTCTCTTTTGTTTGCTGTCAAGAGACTCTGAGCTGGATGTTAGGGGAGGCAATCTCACAGCACAGAATGGACTTGCTTATCAGGGCCCGTTTTCCTCTCATCAGCTGTTTCAATGCATTCCTAGGTCCCTGCTAGTAGACCAGGCAGCTACTGATGTCTCCTTTCCTAAAGCCAGAGAAGGAGGGATCAAACCTCAGCAGGAAGAGGCTTTGGACAAAATCCTTCTGAAGTTGCCTCCTGAAGATGTCTCCCTGGTTTTCCTGCTGTTAAGGATTCTCTTCCTGACTTGGAAGACAAGGTAATGTCAGATCATCCCCAGTTTTCATGGAGAGGATGCAGCTCCCTGCAGGACTCTGGCTTAGCCCTCCCTTGCTTGCCTTCAAGTCGTGTTTGCTGGTTTGGCTCTGGGGCAGAGGGGGTTTGTCAGGGCTTTGAAGACTAGAAAACAAACCTTCCCTTCCCCTTGTGAAAGCTGAAAGGATCAGGGCTGGTTGATGGGAGCCCATCCCAAAAGTGCATTGAGAAGGGTGGGTATTTGCAGCCCTGGCTCAACTAAGCCGTGTGTAGTTCCCTTGCCATAACTACAGAGCTAACTACTTGCCCTCCCTATTCTCTTTGTAGAAAACAGCTGTAGTATCACTGTCAGAGGCTGGCCTGGGTAAATTGCATTAGTATATTGACAGAGTTCACATAGTCCCATGCTGGAAGAGCGGCCATAACTAAATCTGCTGGATTACCCCCAGATCCAACAGCCTCGAGCGGGGAAAAGCAGACTTTGCAAAGCCAGACCAGTTCTGCTGTTCCCTTTGCAGCCCACTGCCCCTAAACAGAGCACTTCCATCTCTGCATAACCCTTGTGGTCGATGAGCTTCGGCTCTCTCAGCCAGGTCTGAATTTAGCTGGTGGTTTTCTATCCCCAGAGGTGTTTCATTAGCTCAATTACAAGTGACACGTTGCACTCTGTGCTGCTGAGGGAAAAGACCTCCGCCAGCCTAAATCCCTCTCCAAACAGAACCCCATTAACCTCTTAACACCCCTTCCTTTAATCCCCGTGCTCATGACTCGCTCACAGCCACACCTTTTAAAGAAGACCAAAGTAAGCCACCGGGGAGAACCACATCCTTAACAGCTGAGGTGTTCATACCGGCTCTTGAGGTTCAATTGGGCTTGGCTGGATGCTGGTCCAAAAGTAAGAGCTGTGTTTTTTGTGCTGGTGTCCAGGGACACTTCCCCGTTGCACATCATTTGGGTGAGCGCCTCGCTGTCCCCATCTCTTAAGGACAAGCAGGGATCCTCAGTGCCACGGCGAACGCATTGGATGCAGGCTCATGTGTGACTGCAGAGACGTCACTTGTTGCAGACGTGCTTGCCAAGGGTTCGGGTTGCTTCTGTGAGCTCGGGATCCTGGGTCAGCGTTGGTTGGAAGGTGGTTGAGGTGCCTGGGTGTTACACTGGCTTCCTGCTCGGGGCTGAGGTTTGCCCTAGATCCATTAATGTCTTGGCAGCGGTGCTTCCTCGCTGGTGGTGTCAAGACAGTTAGGTGCTGAAGTCATCAGTCAGGCGTATAACCCTAAATGGATGGGTTGGATCAGTGACCTACTTTAACATACAAGCCTTGCACAAGCCTGACCTTCTTCTCCCCGTGATCCACCCCAGGACCTCAGCAGCAGAAGCCATTTCAAAGCATCCTCTGTGCTGGTCGCGTAAGTCCCACTAGCAAGGCAGCGAGTCCATCAGCTGGGGCCGGGAGCTGTGATTTGGAAACCCTGAGTGCTTGCTTTGGCTCCAGCCTTACTTTGCAAATGCACACAAACCTCTCGTTTTCTTGGGTTTTTTCCGTTGAATCCACAGTCCATGTCCTGAGGAACTTGTACTCCCTGGGAATTAGCGGTAGGATTATTACTGGAATTCCATCTGCTTGCACGCTCAAGTGAGTTCTCAAGCTGGGGTGTGATGTAGTCTGCAGCAGTTGTTGGGGTTTGTTACGTTAGCAGTTACTTGTCTAAATAGGTCTGCTTTCATCCCGTAAGCATTTTCCTCCCAGTGTAGCCAGGACAAATAAGCAGTAACACTCAGAGAGTGGCATTACCAGGCTCTTGAGGGCAAACCAGCCCTGGGGACTGATCAGAACAGGTTACAGCAGAGGTGTGGGGTTACAGCCCATAAACTGAGCAATACAGTAGAAGACATCCAGACAAAGTCGGTCTTTTCCAACCAGGCTGCTCCGTGGGTTGTGGATCAGCACGATCCAGCTGTGTTCCAACCAGAGCTGGGTTTGGAAGCACTGCAACAAACAGCACCATAAGAATTCCTCTCTTCGTTGGGTTTCACTTTTTAGTCCTGTAGGTTTGAATGTCCTGGCAAGCATGCTTCCTACCAACCACTGCATGGACTGGCATGGAGCAGGATGTCAGTGTGGGATAGACTAGGCAGCCAGACAGCTGCTTTGGGAAGGCTGATGGGTTCTGGATGGAGTCGGTAGTGTGGTGGAGCAACCCAGACCGGTGCGTGCCTGTATGGATGTCCTGTGTGCATGCTCGCTGAGTGATAAAGCAGGATGGATGGCCTGTAACGTGGAGAGGCAAAGTCAATACAGACAGAACTAGTCTGGTCAGGT